GAAGCCAAGTTTAAGGTCAAATATATGTATTATCCCCAAAAAAAAGAGCAGAGCAGGTATAAAAAGCCCATGCCTTTTCCCATTTTATGCGTCTGCCTCAATATTTTCAAAAATACAATTGCTCATCTATCTCCCTTCTTTCAGTATTTTTTTCAGTTTAAAGGTAAGTAGATTCACCATTTTACATTCCCATCTATTTGGTTTTCTCTATGTTTCTGCACTTTGTTTACTATGTATTGTATGCTTTATTCATTTTGGAAAAAGTTTTGTTTTTTTTGATATTGGTTTTCCATAGTCCAATTTTTTCTCAAAAGTTCAAAAAGTAAAGAAGAGTGGAAAAAAAATAAAATTAGATGGGGTCTTATGAGTAATCCCATTAATGAAAACCTTTAACTCTAAACTAGTTGATTCATTTATTTTTGTGAAATTTACTGTTCTGCTGTTTTGCAGTCTCAAGATTCAATTTTTATTCAAAAATTATGCTAATGCATACAACTTCTATTGTTTTCTCTAAATCCATTTAATTGCGCATTCTGTTTTTCTTTTAATTTCTTGACCTTGATTGGGGGGCGGAGCCAACAATCGAACCTAGTAACTTTGGCTCAAATCATGTATTTGTATGTAAAGAAAAATGGAAATCTTAGTAAGAAAAATAGAAATCTTAGCAGCTCAGTTGGTTGGCTACCTAAATTTTCACCTTGTTGGTGAAAGTTCGATTCCCACACTGTAATCCCCTCCCCATTTCCCTTACCCCAATGCAAAAATTAATTTAATATGTATCAATAATCAATACAAGAATGCAGTAAGTAAAAGCAAATTGTCATTTTCAGTGTGAACTTTGTTCTTAGTTACTCTTTATGATTTCATTCAGGTAAACATAGACATTGGGTTGTTACAAGTTAAAGTATCCTCTTCAGTATTCTCTAGTTCATTAAAAGGACCAAGGGAATGCTGAAAGATGTGCTTAAGAGCTAGTAAGTCTTTCTTTGAAATTGAAGCACTATTGGAGCTATCCAATAAACTTGATGAGATTGCACCATTATTTCCAACGTCGTCCACGTTCACTCATCAAATGCCAAACCCGACTAGATTCTTTCACGGTCAAATTGTATCGTATCACCATCTTAGTGAAGATGGTTGAGTTGTTCACTTATTGATAAATATTGTGTTGAAAATAGCTAGTTTGATTACTCGGGGTTTGTTGAAGTTGAGATGGAGAGTAAGGGGAGTAGTATACTAATGGAAAGGTATGAGTTAGGGAGATTGTTAGGACAAGGTACTTTTGCTAAGGTCCATCATGCGAGAGACGTCAAGACTAGCATGAATGTGGCTATTAAGATCATCGATAAGGAGAAGATTGTAAAAGTTGGGATGATTGATCAAATCAAATGCGAGATTTCAGCAATGAAATTGGTTAGGCATTCTAATATTGTGCAGCTCTATGAGGTGATGGCCAGCAAAAAGAAGATTTATTGTGTAATGGAATATGTCAAAGGAGGCGAGTTGTATAACAAAGTGTCTAAAGGGAGGTTAAAGGAAGATGTTGCAAGGAAGTTATTTCAGCAATTGATTAATGCTATTGATTTCTGTCATAGTAGAGGTGTTTATCACCGAGACCTAAAACCGGAGAATCTATTGCTTGATGAAAATGGGAATCTAAAGATTTCAGATTTTGGATTGAGTGCTCTTGCAGAATCTAAATGCCAAGACGGCTTACTGCATACTAAATGTGGGACACCAGCTTATGTTGCACCAGAAGTGATAAACAGGAGAGGCTATGACGGTGCTAAAGCTGATATTTGGTCATGTGGGGTGATATTATATGTCCTTTTGGCTGGATATCTTCCTTTCCAGGATTCAAATTTTATGGAGATGTACAGAAAGATCGGTAAGGCTGAGTTCAAAAGCCCTAACTGGTTCCCTCCTGATGCTCACAGGCTGATATCGAAAATATTAAATCCAAATCCTAGCACAAGAATGTCCATTTCTAAGATAATGGAGAATTCTTGGTTCAAGAAAGGGTTGCAGCTGAAACCTATAAATGCTGATACTGAATTGAAGCCTGAAGAGGCAGCGATTGATGATGCAGGTTTTGGTATCGGTGAGAGTACCGACTCAATAACAGAAGCAAAGCCAGAACTGGTCAAGCCTGCACACTTGAATGCTTTTGATATAATATCTTTCTCAACAGGTGTTGACTTGTCTGGCTTGTTTGAAGAAAGAGATAAAAAGAGGGAAGTTATATTTACATCAAAGCAACCGGCGAAAACAATCATCTCAAAGCTAGAGGATGTAGCTAGGCGTTTGACGTTGAAGGTGATGAAAAAGGATGGAGGACTATTGAAGTTGGAAGGATCTAAAGAAGGAAGAAAAGGGGTGTTGTCTATTGATGCAGAAATCTTTGAGGTAACTCCAAATTTTCACTTTGTTGAGATGAAGAAATCGAATGGAGATACGATAGAGTACAAGAAGACAATGATAAAGGATGTAAGACCAGCATTGGAAGACATTGTATGGACTTGGCAAGGTGACGAGCCGCGGCCTCAGCAACTAGCAGAGGAAGAAATTTTGCAGACTTATCAGGGGTACTCATTTGACACTAATTCACCTCAGAAGAATGCATAATAGAGAGAGAAGTATAAATCTGATGTAACTTGATCTTTTTCCATTTTCTGTGCTATTAATGATGTATTTATATTTGAATAATAGAATATTAAGTCCACTCTAATTTCTTTTATGTTCTGGATTCAAGCTTGCATCAGCTTTTTATATCAGTTTGTTCTCTGGGGAGAAACAATGAGTAAAACAAAATCCTCTCCAGTGTTATTAAAACAATGGGTAGTTGGTGGAGCATTAGAAAGATTAATGCATGCAATTTTTTGAGTCTGTAAATCTACCTAAAAATAAATAAAAAACCATACATAAAATAGGAAGGTAACAAAAACATCTAGATTATTGTCTTTTTGCTTCTTTGCTGAAGCTCAATTAGCTCTACTACTTTTGAAGCTCCAGCTCTTCGGTTCTTTGCATCTTCCTCATCAACGCTCTATGACGGGTGTTTCTTTATTTCCTTAATCTTTCGTTCGTTCTGCACTTTCTTGTTAGCTGTTCTTTTGAGTTCCTACAAGAATCCTTAGGTACATATAGAAGAATGAGCACCTATAGTGCTAATGCCACACACTATATTTGTTCCCAACTGTTGGTTGATAGAGGATATTCTCCGTATCAAGATTTGATTCTGTTCCACAATCGCTCATGTATATAAAACCATGTAAGATAATCTAGTTCATAATGATCTAATATGAATTTAATCAATTATGAATATGATAGGAAGGAATAATTTGAAATAAAAAATCTGCATAATAAAGAACATGACTACATACGAGCATGATGAAATGATCAAAAACTATGAAACTTTAATCTTATATATACTTAACGGTATAGAGATAATTGAATTAAGAAGAATCATATGGGAAAAAATATTTGATGACTACGAATTAGAAGATATATTAAATCAAGAATGGTATGAAATAGATTTACAAGATCTATATTTAGATAATGAAAGAATAGAATGGTACGATTTAGAAATAAATTCAGATTAAAATGAAATACGAATATTTACAATAATGGATAGAAGCTATGGAAGATATAAAACTATTAGAACAATTAATGGAGAAAAATTTATATATGTACCAAAGAACCCAAGATATGTTATATCTAGAATATATCATAAATAGTATTAAAGAAATATTCAGATTAAAACAACTATCGGAAGAATACTACAATAAATATTATTATATATTACCATAAATTTAACACTACCAAAAAATAATATTAAAGAGATATCAAGATGAAGACACTTAACAAAAGAATATTATAATAAAATCTTTAAAATAAAATAC